AAAAAAAAAAAAAAAAAAAAAAAAAAAAAATGAAAAAGTTACTCCTTCAAACGTTTCAGTTTTTCAGTGGCAACCCTGTAGAAGATGTGCTGGTTAAGTTAAAATATCTCAAATATGATATAAACATGTTTATACAGATTATTTTCAGGTTATTCGTTTGTTTATTTGATATAATTACTCACTTTTCTATTGATTAAAATCTATTTGAATTTAATTTAAAATCCATTTGATTCCAGAAGAATATGGGAAATGTATTTCAATTACGTCTTTTCTTCTTCACGACGAGAGCTAGAAATAGTTATTTGAAGCGAATATTTTTTCTACGCAGTGTTTCATCGACTGAGGTATAATCTGAAGTTTATTCAATTCTGCAAGTATACAAGAAACGTATTTCTCACGATGACCTTGAAATAGTTGCTTGAAGTGGATATATTTCTCTCATCATCATCATTCGTGCAATGAAATATTTGAATATCATTTTTCATGGAATCGTTTCTAGTTGTTTAATTTAGATTAGAATGAAATTTGATCTATGAAATACAGTTGCGTATGCGTCTTAAATATGACGTTTATGTTTGATTAACAGGAGGAGGCTTGTCTCAGGAATAACACTGAATATTTGTTTTCTCTTCATACTTTCTTTTCAATTAATTTCTATCGGAAATAATATTCAGAATAATCAATGCAAGCTTCGAAGCGTGAAATATTATTCTAAATAATAGTTTCTAATACGCTATAGCAACATACGAAATAATCAATGCAAGCTTCCAGACTGAAGTGAAATATTATTTTAAACAATAATTTCTAATACACCTCAATTAAATTATTATTATTATTATTATTATTTCAATTGATAATTCCCACTTGCATGTACGTTTGAAATGAATAATCAATGTCAAGTAAAATAAATTTTCCAATTTCAAGAATACTTCATCTCAGGAAGAAATATCAGTATTAAAATAAAGTACAGTATAAAATCAGTATTTCAATAGCTATGTTTCATTCCTTGTGATCGCTTATTTTATTTTGTTTCATTTCTTACGACGTTTCACTTATTCTATTTCAATAAGAAACAGAATTACCGATTACCATTTCAAATTTTATTTCTCAAAAATGTACCCGACGCTAGGAACGATCGAAATAAAAACCGCGAGACGATGGAGTAGAATCGATAGAGGAGCCGTTCAACGAACGAATTAAATCGCGCGCTGGCAAAGGGATCGTTTCGTCGAAAACGAAACGGTGGGATCGCCGGTACGAGGCAAACGTGAAACGTCACTGCGGTGGCAGAGCGTTGGAGAAAGAGTGAGTGAGAGAGACGCGAGCAAACAAGAGCGGGGGAAAAAAAACTCGAGAGCGCGGGATAATTACCGTTCTCCTCAAGGGGGGCGAATTTGTCGCGGCAGAGCAGCACCAGAGGTAGCCAGCAGCGCGCGTAGAACGCCCCGGCCGAGATCAGCAGAACCAGCACCAACACGCCCACAAGGAACGATCTTCTCCAGGATCCGTTTTGTAGACCCAGCGCGAACTGTGGCTCTGCAAAAGCAAACGTCCGCTTTATTTCCCTACCGCGCGTTGGTTAGAAACCGGGGGAGAGGGGAGAGGGGAGAGCGGCGAGAGGGGGACTAGAAATGACTGAAAAGTGGAAGAGAGAGTTTTTCTTCTCCTCTCGGCCGTTCTCGTACACGGCGCGTTACGAATTTCGCTTAATTGGCTGAAAGTGGGGGAGGGGGGCTGACGATTGGTAACGAGCGGCGAATTAAATCGGACGCGATTGAAATCGCTAGCAGACGTCCGTTTAAAGTTGAACGGATCTCGGATGGTTAATTAACCGCGCGGTTAAAGGGATCATCCCCCCCTTCCACTTTTCTTCTCCTGCTTCCTTCGTTTCTCCGATTTCTCCTTTCGAAACAACGGCGAGATATATAGACAGACATTGCATCTTACGTTGTTTGTGATTTCTCAATTTCAATTTTCTTCGGCCGCTGTTTGAAATCTTTTAACGAAGAACCGCTACGCGATATCAATTTAACGAATGATTCTCGGAAAAACAAATCCCCCTGGCAACACAGTTTGTATTTTTTAATTTTAATTTTCACCACTAGCAGCGCTGCGGTGGAAAATCTGCCTGAATCGGTACGACAGAGTGTGACACAAAAATGGTAACGCGAGGTTACGATAACCTCAAAATCGTGGCCGAGAAAGTACATTGTGTGCAATGTCTGTTCGTATACCTCGTCTGGTGCACGCGGTTCAAAATCTCGAGGCGATTACCCTGCCGATAAACGTGAGCCGGTAACGTGATCTCCTCATCCACGCCGTTGCTGACTTCGCACTTGTACTCCCCGTAATCTTCCAGCGTTATGTCCTCGATCTCCAAGTAAGAGCCGATTATCTGATTGTTTTCCCTGAAAGAGCACGATCGTTGATTAGCAAAGTCAGGACAGACGGTCAGAAAAGAGAAAGAAAAGAAAAGACAAAGAGAGAAAAAAGAGAAAAGAAGAACATTGTTCCGAGGGTCGAACGCCTTTTCACTGGGAGATTCGTCGGCGTTCACACAACGACGCGCGCAATTACGCTCGCCGCGTTCTCAACGGAAAAAGGAGCTGACGTCATCGGTCGAGATGACTCTGCATGTTCCGCGCACCTGCGCTCCTCCAAATTCGATTTATCCATGGCGATCGTCCGCAACGTTTTGACATTCATACCGACGAAATCCATCGAGCGGAACTTTGCCAACAAAACCACGGTGAATTGGAGTTTTGGCGTTTTCGTGGCCAAAATTTTCGCGTTATTTCAAAATTCAAGATCGTAGTGTGGTAGGTCGTTGAATTTCGCCCTGACGTCAACTTTAACGTTATCAAGTGGAAAATACATAACGACATTTGGAAAATAGAGGTAACCCCGAGTTTTTTCCCCAGTCGACGTAAATTTTTTTTTCTTCATTTCTGAAATTTGCGGACGACTGAATGCTGATTAATTTCCATTCCAAGTATTTTTCTGTAGGATCATAGAAAATAATTAGGAATAATTGTGATGGTGCTCCCGTTCATAAGTCACAGGACACTTGCTTATTTTGATCTGAACACACATATACTTTTCCGGATTAATTTTATTATACAATCTTGTTATGTATTCTACTTACTCTATTTGATAATAATACTTGAAAACAAAACTGATATTTAACGTATATGGTCTGAATAAATATTTCAAAGTGTATCAAAAATGTGTATATATATTTAAAAAATTGAATGTATATTTAACAAATGTTTAATATATTTAAAAAATTGAATTTATATTTAAAAAATATATTTAATATATTTAAAAAATTGATGTATTTTGGGGTGAATTGGACAGAAACCTTCAAAGTGTATCAAAAATATGTATATATATTTAAGAAATTGAATATATATTTAAACAATTGATGTATTTTAGGATGAATTGGACAGAAGCCTTCAAAGTGTATCAAAAATATGTATATATATTTAAAACATTGAATATATATTTAAAAAATATATTTAATATATTTAAAAAATTGAATATATATTTAAAAAATATATTTAATATATTTAAAAAATATATTTAAAAAAATATAAAATACAGTTAAAAAATATATTTAAATATACTTAAAAAATATATATAGAAATTGAATATATATTTAAAAAATTGATGTATTTTGGGACGAATTGGACAGAAGCCTTCAGAAATGTGTCCAAAAATCAAGAAAAAGACTTATCGCGCGCGCGACTCGTGTTGTTCTAATCGATCGTAACGATCGAGACTGGCCGATCTTTCTTCTTGGAAGCGCCATTGTCGTAATCTCATCGTCGTTACGCAACGATTTCAGCTACGATTTAGGAGCTCGGATTTCCCTCCATTTTCCAAACGCGATGCCCAACGCGTGTCCGTGAGAATTGCGTTAATCGGTAGTCAATGTTTCAAAATTTTCGCAACGAAGAACGCTCCATCGTAATGGAAAAAAAAAAAAAAATGACGGCTGACGTTGCGCTTTAAGCGCGCGTGAAAAAAAATCGGCAAACGTGCATCCGGTGAAAAGCTGTGATTCGTCGACAGTCGACGATGGCCGAAGAGGAGAGAGGCCGAGGGACAAATTCAATCCACCGGCGATATTTTTTTTCTTTTTTCTTTTTTTTTTTTCCGGGCCGCGTCGTCCTTCCTCCGTTTTTTTATCCGGGATCGGTTTTCGCCTGGGAACGAATTCCGGGGCACAAACTCTCCAGCCGAATTTTTCCGATTCTTTCGATTCCCCCGGCAGGTTTTAACGCCGGTGGTTGGCGCTCGTTCCCGGAATATTTTATTCCCCGTGGTGTCGGTTTTAAACGAACGAGGTAATCGCGAACCCATCGAAGCTATCTCTCTTCTCGACGCGCGAGCAACGCGAATTTTAAATCGGACAGCTTCGACGCTTTTAATTAAAAGTTGCCCGGCAAAATTCGAAACAATCGGGCTCCTTCTCATTACCGAAAGCTCCGCTCCGAATTACAAAAGCAAATTTCCACACGACCTAACCCACCACACGCACGTTTCTCGTCTCGTTCATCGATTCACGCGTCGTTCCAAAATTCCCGTGAGATGGCACGATCTCGTTATATATATATATATATATATATAGGTTGTTAAATTTTACATAAATCAAATGTTACACGTGTCATTTGATTTGTACAATTACATTTGTATAAATTAGATGCTGCATACGATACTCGATTTATCCATTTATATTTGTATAAATCAAATGTTACATAGGTTATCAATCTTCTCGCTTTTCTTCAGTGGTATAGTGTAAGATTCGTTCTTCTTGCTTGGAAAGATAAGATAGGTTATGTACTATGAGCGTAACTCTATCTGCCATTTTTCTGCTTATCCTTCAAATTGTGTTAGGTTAGGAACCAGAAAGTAACTGCGAATGTTTCCTTGTCCTGTAAAATGAGTGGCAAATTTTTCATGAGAAACGAAAGCTTATTATTAAATCCTTTTTGACATTGCATTTCAATGGAGTCGTTAACAATTGTTAACGAAATCGAGCATTTTCTTTCTCTAACACAAGTTTGATGATTCGAGATTTGAATTTGCGGTTTGAAATAAGGTTAGGATATGTTTTTTTAGGATATGTTGTCCTTTTTTTTTAGGATATGTATGTCCATCTGTTAGAAGGAAACGTAATTACTTTTTGGTTAATTCAATAACTGCTTACATTCTACCAAAAAACTGTGACTGTTTTTGTAACACATTGTATTAATGGTTGCATTTTTGTAGTATTGTTATATCAGCAGATGGACATGTATTTCATTGGTTAATCCAATTTACTCACATTTTATCAGAAAAGTGCAACTTTTTTGGAACACATTGCGTTAACATAGTGTTTAGAAGTTATGGTTGCATTTTCATAGTGAGGTAATATAGATATATAAAACAAACAAGAGTCATCACACTCAAACTATGGGATTAGATTTCTTTTCTGAGAGAACTGACCTCTCGTGAAATTATGTATAATATAATAATTGTATATAAATACTTTTCTAGAGAATAATTGTGTATGAATACTTTTCTAGAGAATAATTGTATATAAATACTTTTCTAGAGAATAATTGTATATAAATACTTTTCTAGAGAATAATTGTATATAAATACTTTTCTAGAGAATTAGTGTATATAAATACTTTTCTAAAGAATCATGGTAACTGAATGGAAAAGGAACTCTAACAATAGAGGATTATGGACAAATAGGAATGTTGGATAATGCAAAGTGATAAAACCTCTTGAAAAGACCGAGAAATATATTTATATGGATGAGACAGATTTGCAGTTGAATAATACATTAAAAATTGAGCTCAAAGCAGATAGTAGGTACTTTTTACCTGGGCAATCTGAATGAGATGGCCTTTTCCAAAAAATGTCACTTCTTTTGTTTTCTACGATTGTTTCTTGATTTTCTCTTTGTAACGTTATAAATTTATATGTTCGTGTGTATATATACGTTTTTACTATTATATATATATATATATATATATATATATATATATATATATATATATATGTTTTTTAGATATATACATTTATGGTAAATATATATACGTTTATATTTATATTTACATATTTGTTTACGTTACGTTATATATATATATATATATATACGTGTGTGTGTGTGTGTACTACATTTTTTAGATATTGATTTATAATAACATTATAAATTTACGTGTATGTATGATATACGTATACGTTTTTTCAGATATCGATAGTTGATAGATGCAATAACTTTTTCAAAAACATCCGAGGGGATTTCGTTTTTCGATCGGACCTTACCCTAATAGTCACGTCTCGTCAGTCGTGCGTGCAGCTTGCCGCGTCCAGTCGTCGAAACCGACGCGTTGTTTAATAAATTGTCGCTGCATCGGCAAATATTGTTGTTTGCCAAATATCAAGCGGCAGGAAGGCTCGATGCGAGCGCCGAGAGGAGAGAGGTGGGGTTCACCCTTCGGAGAAGCAGCGCTCTCGCTCCGGTGGACGACCGATGCGAAACGATGACGCGCGTGGAACCCTCGAACCGAGCGAATTATGCGCTCGGAATTAATCGCGGCGGAGTGGCGTTTGCGGTGTACGCGTAGCCCGCGCCTCTCTCCCGTAATTAAATTAGTACGCGGAAAGGCAACCGGCGCGTGCACACGTAAAGGCACGGTGGTACTCTGCCGATTAGGTCCACGCCGATTTTTATCACCTATCGCCCGGGGCTCTTTGCTCGAAATCAGTCGATATACCGATAAATGGAACGCTTTTATCTCGTCGAAAGCACGATTCGATAGTCACGATATCACAGCTGATAGATATCGATAGATCGATAGATCGATAGATCCCAACAGATGGCAAATGTTTCAAGTATCTCGTCGATTAAAATAGTTTAACCCTTTCATTACAAGCACCATACGTGTGTATATATATATATATATATATATATATATATATATATATACAGACGACACTTATTGACATATATATATATACAGACACGACACTTATTGACATATATATATATATATATATATATATATATACACAGACACGACACTTATTGACTTACTGGAATAATCAAATATTAAAAATAAATGATACACTTTGGCGCATCGAGACGAGCTTTTTCTATTTTTTTCTGTTCGAGAAACGATTTATAGGATAATTACTGTAATAAAAAATATTTTTCGATCTATTGCAACCAGTTGTAACTGTCACTCTCTCGAAAGTTTGAGGTTAGGCCTGAAAAACTGAAGTTTTCAATCTATTGCAACCAGCTGTAACTGTTACTCTCTCGAAAGTTTGAGGTTAGGTCTGAAAAACTGAAGTTTTCGATCTATTGCAACCAGTTGTAACTGTTACTCTCTCGAAAGTTTGAGGTTAT